CTATTTTTTTTTTTTTCTTCAGTCCTGTATGGGAAAAAAGAAGGGGCAGTAGCCACTATGTAGCTGGGAGCTAGTGCCATGTCACTAACCTGTCCAGGGTGCAACTTTGCACACCAGAAGTGAGAAGGCAGCATGAAGCACTCTTAGCAGGTTGGAATCCCCTCTGGGAAGGTGGCTAGTCTGAAATTCTAAAGAAGTGGATAGCAGGATCAGGGGATTCAGTGCAGCAGGGTAGTCACACAGCACCCTCTCTGTTACATGTGAATGGTATCACTATGTATATTCATTTTGTCGTGCTGGAATATGCAATAGAAAGGAACTGTTAATGCCAAACTTGTGGAATTGTTATTGCCCATGAATGGAACATTGGCTAATGATGCAGACTGTCTGTTTAAGTCCCTTACCCAGTAAAGAGTTTGAAACAGAAGACATGCTTCATAATTGTGTGACAAAGTACTTGGGGTACTGAAGTGTGCCTTTAGGAGGCAGGATGCACAGACAAGTTAATGGTGAGTAATGTGCAAAGTGGAAAATGTAATTTAGTATGTACAACCACCACCTCGGGAAATTGTGTCTTTATATGTTGAGTAAAATTTTGATGGGCCAGGAGTAGTTGGTCATTGTTTAAAGGAAGGGGTCACCCTCCTGGCGGTGAGAGAAGGACCACTCAAAGGAACATGCCCCCATGTCATATGGGTCCTAGATGTTTAGTTGGAACTACAAAGCCTTACCTTGTAACCATGTGTAGTGTGCAGGGCCATGCATGAATGTGCGCTCCAGGTGTTAAAAGGTTAACATGAATATGGATCAGGGAGATGGACTGGAAAGGATCTCAAACCCGCCATTTGTGCACGTGTGCAGTCATGGAGGTAATGGCAGCGCTATCGCCAGGCACCCAGAGCATGTGCTGGGCATCTTCTGTGAAATGCCCCCAGTCCCCATTGCCATGATTGCAGGCACTGCAGAACCAGCATGTCTGCCCACCAGCTGCCATCTGTCACAACAGTGAAACAGTAAATATCAGAGCCAAGGGAAGCTTTTCCTAGACGCCTCCTCAGCTCTGATGTGTTATGACAAAACACGAGGAGGAAGAACATCTGCTGGCATTGAGCTGTTTTGTATATGAGGTCTATGCTCAGGGGCGGACTGACAACTCATGGTGCCCCCGGGCAATAGGGGATTATGGGGCCCGTGTCCTTGCCCAAACTCAAAAAAGCCTATGAAAAAGGTACCAGGGGCATCTCATGGGGCCCCCTACTAACCCCGGGCCCTCGGGCAGTGCCCAAGTTTCCAAATGGTCAGTCCGCCCCTGGGAAGGGGGGATTTGGGTGGGGGGGGGGGGGGTTTGGTGCTGGGAGGGGAGGTAAGCAGAATGAGTATTTGTGCAATTTGTGCTAGAAGGAGGGTTTGGGGGGAATTTATAATGAGAGGGGGACTTAAGGTCAAGGGAGATTTATGCTAGATGGGGGGAGAGAATTTGTGTTGGGAGAAGGAATTGGGAAAAGGGCGGATTTGTGCTGGAAGGGAAACTTGGAGAGGGAGGATTGGTGCTGGGAGGGGAAAAAGATTTATGCTAGATTGGGAAAAAGATGATTTGTGTCGGGGGGGGGGGGGGGGGTTTGTGCTGAGAGGGGAAAATGCGATAGGCTGGAAGAGAATTTCTGCTAGGAGTGGAAGTTTGGAGAGGGAGGATTAGTGCTGCAAAGGGAGGATTTGGGGGGGGGGGGGGGGGGCAAAGATTTGTGCTGAGAGGAGTGATCATGCAGATCAGGTTTTGTTTTTTTTTGCGGGGGGGGGGGGGAAGCGTGATTTTCAGCAAAAGGGTAAGGGGGGGTTGGGTATTCTCTAAAGAGGGAATATTGCTGTCTCCTGCCCCCCTACACTGTGTATTACACAGCTCTGGCTCCTGCATCCTTAGTTTTCTATTCCTGACCCCTACTATGTATTACACGCTCATGTCCTTACATTCTGTGCATTGCATACTCCTAACCCTGGCACTGACTGCAGAACTCTGTGCACTACATACTTCTTACCCCTGCACATCCTGGATCCCTGAACTATGTGCGTTACGCACCCTTAACCCCTGCACGCTCCCTTACAGACACCTGCACTATATACACTCACCAAAGTGTTCTTTGCATCAACAGTTGCTGATTGAAGTGTATGCAAAAGCATTAGAAGCATTTTTTTTAATGAGTTTGCTGAGATTTATATATACCTTGGAGACTAATACTTGAGGCACAGCAATTGAAGCATTTTTTTAGGTACAAGGAAGCACTGGTTTTGTTTAACCATGCTTGTTAAGCCCCTCCCACTGTTACATTTGACCACACCCATCAGTCACCACTGCATGCGCCGCATTGCTGCTCTTCTTGGGTTGCCCAAAGTTGCCCTAGGTCTTTCACAATCCTAGCAAATCCTGCACAAAAGTCTGTGTGGAGTGCATGGGCTGGAAACTTGCTAAACAATCCAGCTCCAGGGGAAATTGTATTACTGTAGGCAAGTAGCTAGAGCTTTGGCCACGTGAAGCCATTAAGGGGCTCCTTCCAGTGCAGTGGTCATGACTATATAACATTGTGAAGTGGCCCATCCTAGCAGGAAAGAGATCGCTCATTGCTGGGGTGGGCAGAGAGTAACCCAGGGTGGAACCATGGCTATACTGGACGATTGAACATAACATTAGGTACTAGTCGCTTTTTGGCTTTCTGAAGAAATTTATTTGCTCCAAGAGTACAGGGATAGAGGGTTAAGGCTTCAGATACATCCAGCAACATATTTTCCAAACTCCAACCCCACTTCCGCTGTCACAGTAAATAAAGATCACCTGGACCGCAATGTATTTAAAAAATAAGGACCATCAGGAAAATATCAGTGCCAGAAAGTGGATACTTCCACGCATCCCCACCAAGGGAGTACCAGGCTCCTCTGAGGATCAGATTCATTCCCTTCCCAGCAGGACGTATTCCCCTTGCTCTCCACCTTTGGTGCTTCATCCTCGAGAGGAGGTAGGATAGCTTCAGATTGATGTGTTAGGCCCCAAAGCCTTCCAGCCTATTCAACACATTCTACCACACACCCCTCACCAGGCTACTCCCCAAATATTTATATCCTTCCTAGCATGAATCATTGACAATAAACCTCCTCATGGTTGGCCAAGGGGGGGTACATACACATCGATAACTCAGCATTACTGCAGCTCCCCTGTCTATGGCCAAAGGTTTCACCTACTGGAAGCAGCTAGTTTAGGGGAAAAGCCAATTGTGATGTCACAAATTAGCCGGTGCGCATTACCACTAGGTAGAACTAAAGTTATCTAGTCACCTCTATGTATGATATATTGAGTGTATGGCATATTGGGTGTATGGCATATTGAATGATCAGGACTAAAAATAATGTAAATGGTGTAGTGTAGTATAAAGTGCAGTGCTCAGGACTGAGTAACATACAAAATATATAGGATGCAGCAGTCAGGAATAAAAAACCCTAAAACACAGGGGTTGATTTACTAAAATTGGAGAGTGCAAAAATCTGCTTCTTCTGTACATGGTAGCCAATCAGCTTCCAGCTTTTATTTGTCAACGCTTAATTGAACAAGCTGATTGGCTACCCCTCACAGCTGCACCACTATAAAGTTTTAGTAAATCAACCCTACAGTGTATAAAGTATAGCAGTCAGGACTGTGCGGTCAGTGTGCCCCCTTCATTGTGTAATAAACCACATAACGTATAGAGTGAAGGGGTCAGGACTATGTAATATACAACATAGTATTTACTGTAGAATACAGGGGTCACAACTATGTAGCATGACGTTTCCAGAAATCAGGATTATGGAACATACAACAACAGTACATAAAGTGCACTGGTAAGGATTATTTAGAGTATACAGTACAAACAATGCAGCAGAGTGCAGGGGGTCAGGAGTAAGTGTTTCCACAGCACAGCTTGCAGTGGTCAGGAGTAGTTGTCCCCTTATTTTGGTGGTCAGGGGTCTCACACCATTAGTGGTAACCAGGGGCGGACTGACAACTCATGGGGCCCCCGGGCAATAGGGGATCATGGGGCCCCTGTGTCCTTGCCCAAACTCAAAAAGCCTATGAAAAAGGTACCAGGGGCATCTCATGGGGCCCCCTACTGACCCCGGGCAGTGCCTGAGTTTCCAAATGGTCAATCCTCTCCCCTGATGGTAACCATTCCCCTTTACACTGGTGGTCAGTGTACTGCCCTTACATTGATGCGCAGTGTTCAGCACTCCCCCCTTACAATGGTGGTCAGTGCTCTGTGCCCCCTTAAAATAGTCAATTATCAATGCCCAATTACATTAGTGGTCAGTGCTTAGCACCCCCTTTACATTATTGGTCAATTCTCAGTGCCCACTAACTTTTTGTGGTGTGGTCTCGGTGCACCCATAAATTAGTGGTCAGTTCTCACCTTCTAATGCCTTTCATTTTTAGGAGTAGAAAAATAAAAGTTTTGCAATACTTTAATGTGCTGCTAAAGAGCTCTGCAATTATACACATTCTCTAGTTGACTTACCTTAAGTGTTAACTCTACTTTTTTGGAAGAAATATAGCAAATAAATTAAAATAACAAAACTGCTATAAAAACCAAGCTATATTGAACATTTGTCTAATAGGGTCTCAGGGGTGCCAGCACAAGTTCTTTTCCTTTTAATGGTGTTTTCCTATCAGACAAATCACCATAATGACAGATTGCTGAGAAAGGTTACATTGTCCAGTTCACAAAAGCAATTCTGAATTATAATGATAAATTATACCAAACACAGTGCTCAAATAGGTTGGCATTATGCTGCTAAGAACTGTTCATAAAATTGTGCCATTTTGGTGACCCAGTCTCATAGATCTGTAGTGATGAGCAGGTCAGTCAATTGCTGTGTCCTTTTACCATTATAAGATACATAGTTACTATACAGCACAAAGATGTAGTACAATAGTTCTCGGGTTGTCATGGAGTATATAATAACAATGTCCACACGTTCCTGTGCTACATGCTGAGGTCTCCTGGGTCAATAGTGATGCTGCTGTTAGTAACTCGAATGCCGTACCAGCCGGCCCAGAATTGGGTGTCCTTTCCCCCATGCTGGAAATATATGTATCTGACTCCTGGACCATAGTTTTTAAATCTGTATTCAACCTACAAGTGAAAAAAAAAAAAAAGTTTACAATATTGTAGTACAATTTCCAGTACAAGGGGGGCACTCTTTACGTCTGGAGGAAAAGAAATTTAATCCCCAAATACAGAAAGGTTTCCTCACAGTGAGAGCTGTGAGAATGTGGAATAGACTCCCTCAAGAGGAACTTAGACACATAGCACCTGACAACCCGACTAAATTCACGCATACATGGGCCTGTTGGTTTCACGATCTAGACTCAGCAGATTATCTGAACGACAAGTCCACGCACCTAGTCCACTTAGTAAATCTGGACCCTGGATCATATACCTCTCTCTCCCGAGGGAAAGTGGAGGTGCTTCCTGGCCTTTTCCCACCCCATTTTCTAAACATCTTCCCCCCCCCCTTTTTTTTTTTTTTTTTCTCTTTTCCCTCACCTTTACAGTTCCCCTACTTGGGGCCCACTCATGCAAAAGCGTTTTTACTGGTTTATTCATGTATGTTTTGCTTGTCTTGACATATCATTACCTGTTGCAGGATCTGTTCTTTATTATCTATTGAATGTTCTGTAATGCATTTTGATTGTTTGTTCCACTGAACATTGGTCTTATGTGATCCCCCCCCCCCTTCTGTTTTTACTCATTGTCACTGTGAGGGACCACAATGCCTTTTTTTGCGTGTTTCCTTTTATATTGTCATTAAGAGTTGATATGCGATCTCATTGTACATGTCTATACTCTTGGCTTGTTTTACTGAATAAAATCCTTGAAATATAAAATTTAAGGATAAAAGGCAAAGAAGTGGGTGAAAATACCTGAGACCACTTGGCATCACTCCACTGCTCTATGAAAATCTGATCCGGAAGAAACTCATGGATAATGGTATTCTCCTTAGACAGCAGCTGCACACATAAGGCATACATAGACCCGCAGTCATGTCTGGCGGCATACCTAGAGTGACAAACACACAGACAATCCTTTAAATGCATTATTTTCCCAACTTACTGCAACAATACAGGAAAAGGAAAATCAAGAGGGGAAAAAAAAGTTAACGGGAAATCACTTCTTTGATAAATTATACGATTTTCACTATACTGTACATTTAAAATTTTCCAATTGGAACACTAGTTCTGGCTACCTGGGGATCCACAAAATATTCCTTTTAATTTACAGGGATTCAATGACTGTTTGGCTATGGGACAAGAAGTGAAGGGAAATCTCCACGATGGGACACAGATGACGAAAAAAAATCTGACAGGGGTTATAACTTTCCCTTGCTCTGTCTAAAATGAAAAAAAAAATGCCAATAGTTCTGCTTTAACAGATATAGAAATAATAAAAAAGCTTCCAATGGTATATTTAACAGATCAAATATGAGGAGGTGTTTGTTGTTATTGTTTATATCTTTCTCTAGGAGTTAAACCCAGCCATTGGACTCAAGGAAAGGAAGGCCCCATGTATGCCACTCAACTCGACAGGGATAGGCTCCTATTTAAACCAGTGTGTTGGTGTGTTGTAACAACGCTAAATTTTGTGTTGTCCCCAAAACTTCAGGGAAATAGTTTCCATTACAATTTATGAAGCTTTTTCTATTAATGCATTATGATGTGGCCTTTGAGAAAAAAAAAAAAAATCAGATTTTGTGCATTCTTGGAAAAAAAAAAAATGTGCTTTACAATATAAAGCAGTTAAGAGGATAAGTTCACCTTTAGGTACATGTTACATGTTCCACCCATTTTTTGAGATGGAACATGAAACATGCTCCCGATCCTGCAGCTGCTGTCCAATCCCCACCCCCCCTACCCCATGACAGCAATACGAGGAGAAGTCGCATTTTTAAAAAGAGCGCAGCCGTGCGAGCTGCAACAATCATTCACAGAGTTCTATGATTGAACCACAAGTCCCAAAGCCCTAGCAGCTGTTGGCGTGTAGTTCTCAATGAACTACCACGGCACTGTGGAGTGCCGTGGTAGTTCATTGATCTTTCCTGTTAATATATTTGCTTGTCCGTACATCCCATAGCACTAGAACTGGGACACTGGAACTTAGACACAGTTGGGTTATAATGCTGCCTACAAAAGGATTGGGACACTGGGGAAGGAATAAAAAAACAAAAAAAAAAAAAAAAAAAGTGAGCCAGCCTGGGATAACCCCTCCTACTCCCAGCATGTCTTTCTTTTGAGGAAAATCAGTACCAAGGAGCATGATCATAGACACAAAGGGATGGGACCTGTGTCCCTCAATGAACTCCAAGGATTGGATTTTATAACAAGTACAGAGATTGTTGAGATGTCCACAAAGCAATCCAATGGAGTGGTGGGCAACAGCAAGAAAATGCTCAACAGACCCTCAAGAACACAAACGAACTGGGGACTGCCTGCAGCTCAAAGCTTTGCCTGAAGAAAATTACACACAAAAATGTTATCAGATAAGGCTTGAACATCCTGGTAAAACTGGGAATATGGTGCCAGCTTTGCGAATCCGAGAACAGTAGCCTGATGCCAAAAAGCCCATGAAGCACTCATGGATCTAGTAGAGTGTACCTTGGAAAGGAAAGCTGGGTCTCAAAACAACCTGGTTCTGGCTTCCTAAATGGAAACTTGGCTCACAGAAGTAATGCCAACCAAAAATGCAACTTTATGTGTGAGAGGAGCAAAGGGATAACCCAGATTGGTTGAAATTGTGGTCTCTGTAATGCTGAGAGAACTAAATTCAGATCTCATGGGAGAGCCATATAAGAAGTCCAGTACAAAAGGTATCACTCAAAGAATTAAACGCTAGCAGGTATTTGGAACCAGACTGCAAGCAACAAGAGATCCAGCTCTTGATGGTACTAAATGCTGATGCAAGCTCATATGTAGACTTTCCTGAGATAAATGTTCCTTGCCTTGTGCGTAGTGAAGTATGCCTTCTGTGTGTGATGCTAGATCCTACGAGAAGTAGACTTCCTAGCATTGTGGAAGTCATGGATTTAGAGATGTTTCTGTCCCTCAGAACCTGGGCTTCAACCGCCACGCTGTGAAAGCCAGCAATGATGAAGCAAAATGGTATTGTAAGAAAAAAAAAAAAAACACACACACAACAACAGAAGAACAGAGAAAATATGCTCATCCTTCTGGACACTAGCAAAAAACTAAGGAATGCTGAGAATAGGAGGGGTTATACGGGTGGCCACACAATTTATGCGTCCTCCTGTAGGTGGAAATATTACACATTCTTACCTATTGTATCCATCAATGAATGAGAAAAACATGAATTGCATTGTGTTACACTTCACTGCAATGGATTAAATGCGTACATACCTTTTAATACAAAACGCAATGCATGTTTAAACACACCAGTGTGAAAGGGCCCTAGGGATGTGCTCCCTAATCCCATCAACAATATACAGTAACAACTAGGTAATGGATTTGACATTTTTTCACTGTAGCCGCTTTCTTACAGTTCTCTGTGCAAGTCAGCAAACTCTAAACTTCGTGCCAAACTCGAGTGGAATCTATGGGAGGTGAATTTTGCCACTTTTCCTTGCCATGAGAAGGAACGCGTTTCCCACCCCCTCCCAGGGGTGGAGTGACCATTTGGAAACTCGAGCACTGCCCAAGGGCCCAGGGTCAGTAGGGGGCCCCATGAGATGCCCCTGGTACCTTTTTCATAGGCTTTTTTGAGTTTGGGCAAGGACACAGGAGCCCCATGATCCCCTATTGCCCGGGGGCCCCATGAGTTTTCAGTCTGGCCCTGCCCCCTCCTAAACAATACTAGGCCACATGCCTTCCAACATTTGGGGGGTGGTACCTTGTACGGCCAATAACCCCTACCTTTATTTGCATTCAGCAGTCAGGGATTTGGGTGGGTGAACTGGACAGATATGGCAGCTCATCACTATTTGTTGTTGAAGAAGGTCAGTCTTGCTGCTGCAACATTACTAATTAACATACAAAGTAAATTATTAATTGTGCTGGCTGTACTATTTATGAGTAATGTTAACTATGCAGACACCCTGCCTTAAGCAGGAGTGTCTTTAAATTTAGTTCTGCAGTCACCAGTCAGCCAGGCCAATTTATAGTCTATGTCTTGTTTAGCTTCTAAGTCCAGTCTGACAATCAGTTCTTCTTTCTGTGGCACCTTTGGTATAAGTGACATCATACAGTGGGTCTAGATTATGAATATTCATGTATTTTCCCAGTCAACCATTAAAAGTTGCTTTTTCCAGTGATTCATGATGGGAAAGGGTATATGTTTGGGGCTGGCTGATACAAGCGCTCTTTCTCCCTAGGCTCTGGCCTGGGGAGGGTGCATGTGCTAGAGTGGTTTCTTTAGGCCAGTCTACCTAAAAGGGCCTGGATGGGACTATGACTGGTGCTTAGGCCTAAAAGAAACTGCTTTGCAGCCAACTTTCTCTGAAAGCAGGATGGAATCCCAGGGGGGTGGCTGACTCTCCTAATAAAGGGGGCATGGGGTGTTGGTTGACTTTCCTAGAAGAATGCAGTTGCTACTGGGGATGTCTGCTAAAGAATCCCAACATAGGAGTGTCAGATTCAATGTAAAGGGCTTTTTTCTGTGCAGTGATGTGAAGTGACAGAGTTCTGCTTTAATCTGGAGCATCTATAACCCTAAACCTCTCTCCTATGGACTGTGAGTAATCAATTTTGTTTCACCTAAAAGTGACCGATGCCCATCTGTTCAAATGTCCCACTGTTGTCAAAGTGATCTACCCCTGAGCTGAAATGTCAGCTCACCCAAGCATTGGGGGTAGCTCTGGGGGTACCACCATGCTTCCAAGTGTCAAAGGGGTGCTACGACTACATACAGCTTTAGAGCCCTGAAAAACTGGGAGACCTATGAACCTCTGAAATGTGCTTGTTTTCTTGTTATGACTTTTTATGCAAACAGCAAAAATCTGACCAGAGTTTTAACTTCTTCTCACTCAGTCTAAAACTACAAAAAACAGATTAAAAGAAAAAAAGAAAAGAATACAGACTCTGTGTTAGTGAAATTCTGTCTGCATAAGTATTCTAATGTAACCTGATCACCAGTGATGACCAAATCCATCTTATGAAACCAGAAGCCCAAGTTTGGGTTCCTTAGTAAGCTGACGATATTGCCACCCCCAACCATGCTCGGCAACACTCACCAGTCCCTTATGACTATATCCGGCTGCATGACATCCAACCATCGCTCAGGATATCCCTCCTTCTCTAGGTCAATGAGCTGGCTTTTTATACACATTCTAAAAGAAAAAAAAAATACAGGGTGGTGATGTGGGTGTGTGAGGTAGTGCTGGACCTTGTAGGTGGTCTTCTGTGGCTGTTCAACTCTTGGAACGACCCTAGAGAGTTGGCTCTTTCAAAGTTGTGATGGATGCAAATGCTAGAGTAGCACCATATAAGATGGTCTTGTAAACTTTGGTTCATTACCAAACCTTGTGTTTGTTTGTACACATGTGCGCATAACATAGCCAACACCTTTTGGAGGCTTTACCCTCTCCATGAATAAACACTTGTAAATGTTAATTGAATTGTGACACAATTGGAACAGGGATAAAAATCTTGGGAGAAGTGGACCTTGTGCATGATTCTCGTGGATGCAATTGGACCAAAAGGTATAGAGTTTTCTATACATTGTCCATCACCAACATTCACAACCAGCACATTTTTCAGGAGGAGACAGCAAAACACACCTTAAAATTACAGATTTTTTTTTTTAAATATATACATTTGGTCGTCAAAATAATGTCCATTTTAATGCTGAACTTTGGGAAATGTTAAAGTCCTCTCTTTGCAGTGGGGCTGCACCCATCAACTGTAATTTAAGTCTATGGGACCATGTAGAGCCATTTTACTTACCTGATCCTCAACTGCTGCTGACTTCTCTTCTGCTAGACTGGTCCCTGCAGCATCTTCAACTCTACACTTTGGAATTTAGATGGCAAAATCAGGCCTGATGCAGGGGCCATAGCTCTGCATTGGATGCGAGGACGCCCAGGGACATTCTACCACCAGCCCCTAGACAAAAACAAACCCTTGTAGTGCAGATGCATTCAAACTGCAAGAAAGGATTTTGACTTTTTCCTGGAGATGGGCTTTAAACAAAATAAGCAAGCGTGGTTTCCTTTTCCCTGCTAACCAGTCAAGGGAATTGTTTAAAGAAAAAAAAATATTCTTGGTTACTTGTTATTGGTTTGCTCCCAGCATACTATAGTATTCAACATGTGACTTCTGGATGATATACAAATATACTTTTTGGGAAAATATACTACAGTGTCCTTTAAAGCAAGAAAACAAAATGACCTACCCATAAGAGGCAACATAGTAATCTTTAACATTTTCGTCTGGAAATGGTTGTCCATGGTCTCCTGGGAGCTGTTCAACTTTCCACTGGTCCCCAGTGTTTTCTTCTAATTCCCAGTGCTGGAAGCCCTCTGGAAAAAATATAAAATCATTTCATGAAGCTATCAGTAGTGAAGTCATTTTCCGCTATACTTGTTCTGTAATGTTGAAGATGTTTTGTTGCTTATACAACATACTTATTTAGCTCTGGTATGTGTTGTGAAAATACCCCAGCATTTATACCCAAAAAAAGTTTATTTCTTGGTAGACATTTGTCTTAGCACCACTTATTTTAAGTACGAGGATTACTTGTAGGCAAGAGTCATACTCAGGGGCGGACTGACCATTTGGAAAACTCGGGCACTGCCCGAGGGCACGGGGTCAGTAGGGGGCCCCATGAGATGCCCCTGGTACCTTTTTGATAGGCTTTTTTTTTGAGTTTGGGCAAGGACACAGGGGCCCCATGATCCCCTATTGCCCAGGAGCCCCATGAGTTGTCAGTCCGCCCCTGGTCACACTTGCCCCTTTAAGTGGGATTCTTCTGTAAAATCCCCCCAAAAAGGGGAATGATTTAATTTCCTTCCTGGAAGGATCATATATAAACTGGGGGTGGAGTTGAGGGGGGATCCATGCTGGCTGATGGGAAGATAGGAAACAGAGATGACCTAGAGCAGTGGTGTCCAAACTACGGCCCTTTGGGCATGATTTATCCCACCAAAATGAGATACTATTCTGCCCACTGACATGAACAATGTGGCATAGTTCCTGCCACTGACACAACAATGGGGCACTATTCCTTCCTCTAATACCAAAGAGGGGGCGCAGTTTACTCCCACTGATGGCAGAAAAATTTCTATTCCTTCTGGCCACAGTCCACCCCCACCCCCCACAAAGTCTGAGGGACAGTAAACTGGCCCTTTGTTTAGAAAATTTGGAGACCCCTAATCTTGAGAATGGCATTTATATTTTGTACAATTCCTGGGAAGGGCACTCCTGCTATTGGTAATGCAAAAAGTACACTGCCACTCCACATGGAACTGATATTTGGTAAATAGAAGAATTTTTAATTTTATGGACTTGTGCTGAGAACTGTTGAAATAAAGTTAAGCTGGACCAAGCTTGTGATTGCTTCGAGTATCTGAAGTAGATCCTCAGTACCCTTGCTGGCAAAAAGTGGGATAGTATCCCATTAAAATTATGGAAGACTTCATGAGGTACCCACTTGTAGAGAAGGATTCCTGTGAAACCAATTATGTGCAAACTTGGTTGGACTAGGGGATGGTGGTGGATAGGGTAGTGGTCCTGGAACCACATGCAGGACATCAGCCCTGATGCAGTGAGTGTCCCCAACCAAAGGAGCTGTGCTGACAGAAGTGACCAGGAGTATGGTACGTGTGTGCATAGTGTGCAAATGTCTTAGATACACCATAACTGCAAATGTGTGGGTGAAATGCAGTAATTAGGGGGCTGTGGACTGTGACTATAGCCAGTGTTAGGCCTGAGCAAGCCTTCGTGTAGATGGTCTCTGGTGGAGTACACATGGATGTTTCAGACATGTTTTGGGGACCCACCTACAAACCTCTAAAGAAACATAGCTGTGCTGTGTGATCACTTGTATCTCCTATTGTAACCAACCTTAACATGGAGGAGGTGGAGAAGATAGCCTTGAACTTTCAGAGGGAATAACACCAAGTTCTTGGTTCAGGTACAGTTGTGGCCAAAAATTATTCAACCCCCAATGCTGTAAAGGGGTTTAGGGACTATAGTGTACATTTGGAATTGTATTCAGAATCAAATCCTACAAGGACGTTGTAACTACCCAAATGCAACTAAAATGACATCAATTGTTTATGTAATACAGTAGTAAATGGTTCTTATGTGGTTTCTTCATTGCCACAATTATTCAACCCCTTAAAGACTACCACTCTGAAGAACAGAGGTTCATACAGGTGCTTTCCATCAGGTATTGAAAACACCTGTGGATGTCACCCGAGCAGCAATCAAGCATAATAAGCACCAATTAGGCAGCTTTAAAATGACTGTGATACTCAGCTCCTTCTAGACATTTACTGGTGTGGTTACAAACATGGTGAAGGCAAGAGAATGGTCCAGGAAGACAAGAGAAGAGGTGATTTCTCTTCACAGGAAGGGCAATGGCTATAAGAAGATTGCAAAGATGTTAAACATACCAAGAGACACCTTAGGAAGCATCATTCGCAAATTCAAGGCAAAGGGCACTGTTGAAACGCTACCTGGTCGTGGCAGAAAGAAGATGCTGACTTCGACTGCTGTGCGCTACCTGAAGCGTAGAGTGGAGAGAAGTCCCCGTGTGACTGCTGAGGAACTGAGAAAAGATTTGTCAGATGTGGGTACAGAAGTTTCAGCCCAGACAATAAGACGCACACTGCGTAATGAAGGCCTCCGTGCCAGAACTCCCAGGCGTACCCCCTTGCTGTCTCCAAAGAATAAGAAGAGTCGACTGCAGTATGCCAAAAGCCATGTGGACAAACCACAAAAGTTGTGGGATAGTGTTCTGTGGACTGATGAAACAAAATTAGAACTGTTTGGGCCCATGGATCAACGCTATGTTTGGAGGAGGAAGAACAAGGCCTATGATGAAAAGAACACCTTGCCTACTGTGAAGCATGGTGGAGGGTCAATCATGCTTTGGGGCTGTTTTGCTTCTGCAGGTACAGGGAAGCTTCAGCGTGTGCAAGGTACCATGAATTCTCTTCAGTACCAGGAGATATTGGATGGAAACGTGATGCAGTCCGTCACACACCTGAGGCTTGGGAGACGTTGGACCTTTCAACAGGACAATGATCCCAAGCATACCTCCAAGTCCACTAGAGCATGGTTGCAGAGGAAAGGCTGGAACATTTTGGAGTGGCCATCGCAGTCACCAGACTTAAATCCGATTGAGAACCTCTGGTGGGACTTAAAGAAAGCAGTTGCAGTGCGCAAGCCTAAGAATGTGACTGAACTGGAGGCCTTTGCCCATGAAGAATGGGCGAAGATACCCGTAGATCGCTGCAAGACACTTGTGTCAAGCTATGCTTCACGTTTAAAAGCTGTTATAACTGTAAAAGGATGCTGTACTAAGTACTAAGATTGAATGTCACTTGGGGGTTGAATAAAACTGATAATGCTGTGAGCACAGAAAAGACATTTGTGGTTATTTCATTATAACTGTTATGTTATATTTGTCTGACCTACAAGTGCCTCTTTAATGTAAATGTAAGCAAGATGACTGAATGATCAAAAGCAATGTCAAACTGGCCAAAACACTCAATTTCAGTGGGGGTTGAATAATTTTGGCCACAACTGTATGTGGATGACACAGGGTGCAAGATTATGACATCAGGAATACCAGCTTATAGTGAAAACAAACTCAGTGGAAAAGAACAACAAGGCACAGAATAGAAAATACCTTTTTTTGGACTAGATAACAAGGGGGAAGGGTGGCTTGACTTGACTTATTATTATTATACAGTATTTATATAGCGCCAAAGGGTTTGCTCAGCGCTGTACAATAGCGAGGGGGACAGAACATGAGACAAGACAGAAACAATACAATACACGAGGGGTTCGAGGGCCCTGCTCTTTCGAGCTTACAATCTAGGAGGGAGGGGATAGTGATACAGGAGGAAGTGGCTGTGGGGGATGGAGTGGTAGGAGGAGTGGAGGAGATCGGTTGTTAGGTGAGGGTGGGGTAGGCTTCCCTGAAGAGATGGGTTTTCAGGGTGCGCCTGAAGGTGAGGAGGGTAGGTGACAGTCTGATGGATTGGGGTAGGGAGTTCCAGAGGATGAGGGAAGTCCTGGAGAAGTCCTGGAGTCGGGCGTGTGGAGGAGGAGACCAGGGAGCTAGAGAGTAGGAGGTCCTGTGAGGAGCGAAGGGCACGGGTAGGGTGGTATTTGGGTATCAGGTCGGTTATGTAGTTTGGGGCAGCGTTGTGAATGGCTTTGTAGGTCAGAGTTAGTAATTTGAATTTGATGCGCTGGGCAATCGGGAGCCAGTGAAGGGATAGGCAGAGGGGGGTGGCAGATGTGGAGCGGTTGGTGAGGTGGATGAGTCTAGCCGCTGAGTTCAGGATAGACTGGAGTGGGGATAGCGTTTGTTTGGGAAGGCCAGTGAGAAGGGAGTTGCAGTAGCCCAGGTGTGAGATGATGAGGGAGTGTACGAGTTGTTTAGTAGTGTCTGGGGTGAAGAATGTACATATCTTGGAGATGTTGCGGAGGTGGAGCCTGCATGATTTTGATAGTGATTGGACATGAGGTTGGAAGGAAAGGTTTGAGTCCAGGGTGACACCTAGGACTTTGGCTTGTGGGGTGGGACTGATGGTGGCGTTGCTAGTCGTGATGGACAGGATGGGGGGGGGGGTGCGTGCTGGGGGGAAAACCAGGAGCTCGGTTTTGGACAGGTTTTGAGGAAATGGAGCGACATCCAGTCTGATATGTGGTTCAGGAGGTGGGCGATGCGGGCGGAGAGAGAGAGGGGGAGTGAGGTGAGGGGTGGAGAGGTTTTTTTGTGTGTCGTCGGCATAGAGGTCATAGTTGAAGCCGTGGGAGTGTATCAGTTTGCCAAGGGAGGAGGTGTAGATGGAGAAGAGGAGGGGTCCGAGGACAGAGCCTGGGGGGACTCCAACAGAGAGGGGGAGGTGGCAGCGTTATAGGTGACGCTGAAGGAGCGTTGGGATAGGTAGGAGGAGAACCAGGAGAGAGCAGCGTTCCTTATGCCAAAGGAGTGCAGTTTGGTAAGGAGGAGGGGGTGGTCGACTGTGTCGAAGGCCGCGGAGAGGTCGAGGAGCAGGAGGACTGAGTCGCGGCCATTAGCTTAGCTTAGCAAATTGGGAGTTATTAAAACTCATCACATCAGTCTAAGATGGTAACAACAAACAGAGTCTAAAGACAAAGAACACAGACATCTCAGGGGGGCTTTAGAAACATTGCAGCCACCTAAACTGGGCTTTCATTAAAACATCTACAAGGTCAAGACAACAATTTACACCTTCAGCATTTGAATTGAAGGATTAGCACCTGATGTAGGGGGTCCTGCACGGCTCCGAAACATTGTGCTTGGTCCATTGTGATGGGATCATCCTTCAATAAAAGCTTCGGCTGAAACGTGATGATCAAATCAAAATGAGCAAATATACAGTTGTGTCCAAAATTATTCAACCCCCACTGAAATTGAGTGTTTTGGCCAGTTTGACATTGCTTTTGATCATTCAGTCATCTTGCTTACATTTACATTAAAGAGGCACTTGTAGGTCAGACAAATATAACATAAACAGTTATAATGAAATAACCACAAATGTCTTTTCTGTGCTCACAGCATTATCAGTTTTATTCAACCCCAAGTGACATTCAATCTTAGTACTTTGTACAGCATCCTTTTACAGTTATAACAGCTTTTAAACGTGAAGCATAGCTTGACACAAGTGTCTTGCAGCGATCTACGGGTATCTTCGCCCATTCTTCATGGGCAAAGGCCTCCAGTTCAGTCACATTCTTAGGCTTGCGCACTGCAACTGCTTTCTTTAAGTCCCACCAGAGGTTCTCAATCGGATTTAAGTCTGGTGACTGCGATGGCCACTCCAAAATGTTCCAGCCTTTCCTCTGCAACCATGCTCTAGTGGACTTGGAGGTATTGCTTGGGATCATTGTCCTGTTGAAGGTCCAACGTCTCCCAAGCCTCAGGTGTGTGACGGACTGCATCACGTTTCCATCCAATATCTCCTGGTACTGAAGAGAATTCATGGTACCTTGCACACGCTGAAGCTTCCTGTACCTGCAGAAGCAAAACAGCCCCAAAGCATGATTGACCCTCCACCATGCTTCACAGTAGGCAAGGTGTTCTTTTCATCATAGGCCTTGTTCTTCCTCCTCCAAACATAGCGTTGATCCATGGGCCCAAACAGTTCTAATTTTGTTTCATCAGTCCACAGAACACTATCCCACAACTTTTGTGGTTTGTCCACATGGCTTTTGGCATACTGCAGTCGACTCTTCTTATTCTTTGGAGACAGCAAGGGGGTACGCCTGGGAGTTCTGGCACGGAGGCCTTCATTACGCAGTGTGCGTCTTATTGTCTGGGCTGAAACTTCTGTACCCACATCTGACAAATCTTTTCTCAGTTCCTCAGCAGTCACACGGGGACTTCTCTCCACTCTACGCTTCAGGTAGCGCACAGCAGTCGAAGTCAGCATCTTCTTTCTGCCACGACCAGGTAGCGTTTCAACAGTGCCCTTTGCCTTGAATTTGCGAATGATGCTTCCTAAGGTGTCTCTTGGTATGTTTAAAATCTTTGCAATCTTCTTATAGCCATTGCCCTTCCTGTGAAGAGAAATCACCTCTTCTCTTGTCTTCCTGGACCATTCTCTTGCCTTCACCATGTTTGTAACCACACCAGTAAATGTCTAGAGGAGCTGAGTATCACAGTCATTTTAAAGCTGCCTAATTGGTGCTTATTATGCTTGATTGCTGCTCGGGGTGACATCCACAGGTGTTTTCAATACCTGATGGAAAGCACCTGTATGAACCTCTGTTCTTCAGAGTGGTAGTCTTTAAGGGGTTGAATAATTGTGGCAATGAAGAAACCACATAAGAACCATTTACTACTGTATTACATAAACAATTGATGTCATTTTAGTTGCATTTGGGTAGTTACAACGTCCTTGTAGGATTTGATTCTGAATACAATTCCAAATGTACACTATAGTCCCTAAACCCCTTTACAGCATTGGGGGTTGAATATTTTTGGACACAACTGTATGCACTGCTATGACACCAAGGATGAGATTATGTAAATAGAACAGAGTGGTTCTACAACTTTCACACCTCCCATCCTGCTTGTGGAAAATCAACATCTGCTTTAACACAGTCCATGGTGATTGGACGAAGGTATGTAGACATACAGTAAATACTGGGTATGTTCCTAACTTTCATTAGAACTCAAGAACTTGCTTGGATAAGCTACAAAATATCTTCATCGTTACAGAACAAGCCAATTGAACTAACTACTACTAGATGTACTATAACTTGGATAAAGGAGAAAGTTCACAGACTTCTTGAAGCTGCATTCATGTTGACCATTTACAGCACAAATGGGGGCCTTCCCAGGAGGATTAGGAACCAGATGGGGGCTCTTATCCGGGATGGACCAACTGAGGGCCCACCCAAGATGATTAAGGGGTCCTGTATAAGACTGGGTAAAGCACTCTTACCTACAGCACAGGGGTTTTTAAGTAAATTCCTCTTTTTCTCATGGAGGAAGTAGAACATCCTCCAGTCAGGTGGAATTCTTTGGCAATGCTTAGAGACAAGTCCATCCTGCTGAGACTTCCTTTTCCACAAGGCCGGAGAGTCAATAATATCCCTCCACAGTGTGCAGACGAGCCGACAGTGCAGGATAAGATCACAAGCAGGGACCACAGACAGAATTTCCAGCAGTGCTCCTTCCGGGATACCGTTAATGATCATTCTGTACTCTGTTCAATTCTTGCAAAGTCCTAAAAAAAAAAAAAAAAAAAAATTTAAATAATGACAAACACTTGGAGACTCATAAAAGCATGTACAAAATGACAGTTCAGTGTAACTCTATGCTGCCCTATATGGAAGTGCTAGAAATTACAGGGCCCCACAGAATGCACCTTATTTAACCTCCAATAATATTGGTGGTTGGGGTGGCCAGTCATTCGAACAGGGACATCACATCCAAGATGGTTCAGGGCTTTTAGAGGTCTACTTAAAAGGGGACTTTTGCAGGTAAATAACATGCAAATTATGCACATACAGTATAATCTCAGGGTACGATTATTGCTGAAATGAATGGTCCAGTGGCATAACAATAGCCATAGTAACCCATGTAGCTGCTAAGGGGCCAGTGTAAAAAGGGCTGAAGCAGGGGCATACTGACAACTCATGGGGCCCCCAGGTAATAGGGATCATGGGGCCCCTGTGTCCTTGCCCAAACTCAAAAAATCCTATGAAAAAAGGTACCAGGGGCATCTCATGGGGTCCCCTACTGACCCCGGGCCCTCGGGCAGTGCCCGGTTTCCAAATGGTCAGTCCGCCCCAGGCTGAAGTCAGACCTCAGAAATCTCCTAGTCACAGATCCTCCTCTGTGCAGTAAGAAGAATGTGCTTATCTGTATTAGGGGAGCAAATATATTGGGCTCTCAACTTCTGCTATGGATTGAAATTAACCCTGAATGTCTAATACAGTCACAAATCCCAGAGACTCTCCCCATCCCAGCTATGCAGTTCTACAAAAAAAAGTTAAATGTTTAAAGAAAATTTTAAATAGGGTAATAGAGTAATTGTGTGCAAGAACATTTAATAACTGCATTGTACGCTAAAAAAATCGTTCTGATTACTATTATCGCTATTGCAACTATAATGTTTATCCACAGCACAGCTTAAAGTGTATGTAAACCCCCACCTACATCCCATTCAATTTAGAATAGGAATGAAAGGTGAAAACATTTGTGCATAGATATGTATATATATATATATATATATATATATAGATATATATATATATATATATATACACACAACAACATATACACACACACAATATTATACACACACATATATATATACACACATATACACACACACATATATACACACACATATATAGTATACATATACACACACACACACATATATTAATATATATATACACACACACAATATTAGTATATATACATATACACACATATATACATATACATATATACACATATATACATATACATATACACACACACACATATTATATATATATACACACACACACATCAATATATATTTATATATACACACATATATAAATAATATACACATATATACAGTTTACACATATATATATATACACACACACACACACACACATATATGGCTATGCTAATGGGGGGGGGGGGGTCAGGACAAATCTGATCATTGAAGGAGAGCAGGCTGAGTTCCCAGCACAGCTAGAAAACTGACCACACTGTGCTCTCATGCCTAGTGTGGTCAGTTTTTTTGACAGGAAAGCAGAGGTGCTGGCAGGAAACATCAGGGATTGCCTACAAAGGAAGCAGGATACGTTTTCATACAAGTACATGGTACGGCAGGCACATATTACATATATGAAATGCTGTGTTTACAAGGCCCTGTTCACACTTTGCGTATCTGAAATTGCGAGTAACATCTCATGATTCTAGATCAGGCTACTTGTTATTGGCATGCCAAATGTGATTAGCAGACACATATTTTTTGTGTGCTACAAAGGTGCAAAAAAGCCTTGCTGAAAAATGTGTGTGATGCTCCATGCCAGAAAAAGTGCAGGAGCTTCTTTGGCACATTTATTGTGCATAGCGCAGCCCATTCAAGTGCATGGCTGCGCTATGTGGTGGCACAGTGGCTAAATGGTTAGCACGTCCGCCCGGCAGCACCACGGTCGCCGATATGCACAGCCATCCAAAGCAGTGTGCAGGGAGCTGTCAGGGAGGAGAACTGTTCTGTTTACAAACAGTTCTCCTCCCCGTCGGAAATGCTCAGCAATCACTGGGCGCCGGCGAGTAAATCACCGACTGGGACCCAGTGATTGACAGCCGCAGCCGTGCATGTCCCCTACCCGGAAATGCAAAAATCACGTATATATACGTGATTTTGTGCACCCATGCCACACTGTAGCAGTATATCTGCTAAGGACGGTCAGGAAGCAGTTAACATGTGATCGAGTTTAAAGGGATGAGGTGGCAACCCTTATCTAAGCCACACAATGAGAACATCAGATGAATGGGTCCTCTGTTTTGTTTTTTTTTGGGGGGGGGTTGCATGCAAGTCTCATATTGAAAGTGAAGAGGTTACATTTCTTTTCTTTTTAAGTCACCGGTCACACCGCTGCAATTAAAATCACACAATTTGCGATTTCAGGTGCAATTTCTGAAGACTTTATTGCGATTTTGTAAAGATTTTTAACAATTTCTTGCAATTTGCAGTGCGATTTCCATTATATTCTATGTATGTAAAATCACAATAAACCGCAGAAAAGGTAATGCAGGAACTACTTTAGAAATCACACTGCAGCAAATCGCACGTTAAGACACCGACATTCACATTCAATAGATGTGATTTCAGGTGTGATTTCTGAAGACTTCAGCCCTTGTTCACACCGCCGCAATTTCAGGTGCGATTTGGGAATTGAAATTGTACCTGAAATTAGATCTAATGAATGTGAGTGTCTTAACAAATGCGATTTGCTGCAGTGCGATTTCAAAGTAGTTTTTGTATTACTTTTTCTGCAGTTTATTGGTGATTTCACATATAGACTGCAACAGAATTCGCACTGCAAAAACGCAATGGAAAATGCAATAAATTGTTGGGAAATCTTCCGAAAACGGGGTGAAACCGCAAACAAACCACGCGATTTTAAATCGCATCCAGTGTAAACCAAGCCGTATTGTGACTTGTGAAGGTTTTCAATGATTTCTTGCAATTTGCAGTGCGATTTCTATTGTATTCTATGTGAAAACTGCAGAAAAGGTAATGCAGGATCTACTTTAGAAATCGCGCTGCAGCACAAATCGCACATGTTAAGACACTGACATTCACATTCATTAGATGCGATTTCAAGAGCGATTTCTGAAGACTTTATTGCTACTTGTGAAGATTTTCAACGATTTCTTGCGATTTGCAGTGTGATTTCATGTATGTGAAATCGCAACAAAAACTGTAGAAAAAGTAATGCAAGAACTACTTTAGAAATCACTCTGCAGCAAATCGCACCTGTTAGGCACTGACATTTACATTCATTAGATGCGATTTCAGGTGCGATTTTTATGAAGACTTTATTGCAACTTGTGAAGATTTTTCAATGATTTCCTGCAATTTGCTTAGTGATTTCCATGTATGTGAAATCGCAACAAAACTGCAGAAAAAGTAATGCAAGAACTACTTTAGAAATCACACATGTTAGGACACGGACATTCACATTCATTAGATGCGATTTCTGAAGACTTTATTGCGACTTGTGATGATTTTCAACGATTTCTTGCGATTTCCACTGCATTCTATGTATGTGAAATCACAACAAAGCTGCAGAAAAAATCATGCAGGAACTACTTTAGAAATCGCATGTTTTGGACACTGGACATTCCACTCGATGCGATTTCAGGTGCGATTTCTGAAGACTTTTTTGTGACTTGTGAAGATTTTCAATGATTTCTTGCAATTTGCAGTGCGATTTCCCTGTATGTGAAATCGCAATAAACTGCAGAAAAAGTAATGCAGTGGAACTACTTTAGAAATCACGCTGCAGCAAAACGACATTAAGGACACTGACATTCACATTCTTTAGATGCGATTTCTGAAGACTTTATTGCGACTCTTTGTGAAGATTTGCAATGATTTCTTGCAATGTGCACTGCGATTTCCATTACATTCTATGGATGTGAAATCGCAACAAAACTGCAGAAGAAGTAAAGCAAGAACTACTTTACAAATCGCACATGTTTCAGACACTGACATTCACATTCATTAAATGCGATTTCAGAGTGCGATTTCTAAAGACTTTATTGCGACTTGTGAAGATTTTCAAACGACTTCCTGTGATTTGCTTAGCGATTTTCATGTATGTGAAATCACAACAAAAACTGCAGAAAAAGTAATGCAAGAACTACTTTACAAATTCGCACGTTAAGACACTGACATTCATTAGATGCGATTTCTGAAGACTTTGTGACTTTGTGAAGATTTGCAATGATTTCTTGCAATGTGCACTGCGATTTCCATTGTATTCTATGTATGTGAAATCGCAAGAAAACTGCAGAAAAAGTAATGCAAGAACTACTTATAGAAATCACGCTGCAGCAAAACGCACGTTAAGACACCCGACATTCACATTCATTAGATGCAATTTCTGAAGACTTTATTGCAAATTTGTGAAGATTTGCAATGTATTTCTTGCAATGTGCACTGCGATTTCCATTATATTCTAATGAATGTGAAATCGCAACAAAACTGCAGAAAAAGTAATGCAAGAACTATTTTACATAATCGCACGTTAAGACACTGACATTCACATTCATTAGATGCGATTTCTGAAGACTTTATTGCGACTTTGTGAAGATTTGCAATGATTTCTGCTGGCAACATGCAATGTGATTTCCATTTTATTCTATGGATGTGAAATTGCAACAAAACTGCAGAAGAAGTAAAGCAAGAACTACTTTACAAATCGCATGTTAAGACACTTGACATTCCACATTTCATTAGATGCGAATTTCTGAAGACTTTATTGCGACTTTTGTGAGATTTGCAATGATTTCTTTGCAGCATCAATGTGATTTCCTATTATATTCTATGGATGTGAATCGCAAACAAAACTGCAGAAGAAGTAAAAGCAAGAACTGACTTTACAATCGCATGTTAAGACATGACATTCACATTCATTAGATGCGATTTCTGAAGACTTTATTGCGACTTTGTGAA